ACATGTACACGCACCAAAATGTTTTATAATGCATTCACTGACAACCTCCATATTTTTAACTTAATTGCTATAAAATTATAGAAATTACATTAGTCGAGTGAAAAAAAAATCAGAAAAACTAAATAAGTGATTTCTGAAATGTATTTAAAGAATTTTAACTTACGAGCGTTTTTTCAACTAACTTTCACCTGTTCACTGTTTAAAACCGCTTAATTTATTATTCAATAATAGACAGATAAATGAAAATTAAATACCTCACGCTTAATTGAATGGAGACGTGCTTGAGCATGGGTATTTTATTTCTGACAGTGGCAATATATTGCTGTTAAATTATTTTAAGTTAGTTGATTAAAACTGAAACATTCATTTTGAACATTACACTGATGCCACTACTCGCTTTCAGTTCTCTAAATTTATTAATCAAAAGTACAAAATCTAAATAAAAAAATATCCGTACAAAATATAAAATGTTGTTAAATAAAAAAACAAATTCAAAATTCGGGCTTCTAAAATGGTTTTAACAAAAAACTCATTCAGTCTTTCCCACAGTGTTTAAAAAATTTTCTTGTTAAAATTAAAATTAAAGTTCTGCTAAAATTATAACAATGCCTCTTGAGCATTTGGATTTTTCTCCTTCTTCTAGTTGCAAATTTACAATGATTCTCCTTGCACTTAAAGTTACTTTCCCTTACATTAATAAGTTCAAATTTCAATTTTTGGGGGAATTTACGGCATTTAATGTCAGCGTAATTTAATACAAATCGGTTACACTAAAAAGCGCTAAAACGATGAATTTAAGAACGAAAATGGATCCCATATATCAGAAAATATTAGCAAATTTTCCGTTATAATCATTACTGATCTTTTAACTACCTTATAACTACCCTAAGGTCCTAAATTTTCCAAAAAATTTTCAGAGAGAACAATCACCAATATTTTTTAAGAATTATTAATTCTTAAATATCATAGTAAATTTTATTACTACAGTGTCTCACAAAAGTGATGGGACACTTGTGCTTTACAAAAGGAAACTGTAATAAAATAAATTAAAAAAAAACATGTAAAAATTTTTTGTGGGTGTGTTTCATACTTAAATTTAGTAACAATTATTACATAACATACATTTTCTCAAAATATTAAAATATTAATTTAATAAAAATACAATTGTTTAGAACGGAGCAAAAAATGGCTCACATAAGTGATGGGACACTTACTTTTCCATCAAATATTTATCCAAAAATTTTACTTTTAAAAGGTTTTAATATTTTGTTGGATTTCCTTTTACTTTTAAAACATGATTTAATCTTCTTGGGATGGATTCGACTAATTTTTTTGTGATTTCTGGAGTGATTTTACCCCATTCTTCTTGAAGCACCGATTTTAATTGTTGTTTTGAAGAAATGGTGTGTTTGCGAATTCTTGATTCCAATTCTTGCCAAATAATATTCTCTATGGTGTGTTTGGGATCTTAAGTCTGGAGATTGTGGTGGTGTTTTTATTATTTCAGGACAGTTATACAGCAGCCAGAGTCTAACGTTCAAAGCAGTGTGCTTGGGGTCATTGTCCTGGTAGAATTTAAAATCGTTATGAAGGTTCAATTTCGTGCTGAAGATTTCAAATTTTGATTTAAAATGCCAATATACTTGTACTGATCCATTATACTGTCAATAAAAACAAGATTACCAACTCCAGCGGACGACATACACCCCCATACCATAACTCCTCCTCCACCATGTTTTACTGTTGGCACCAAGTTCTGTTTTGCGAAATTCTTCCCTGGGTTTCTCCACACCAAGATTCTACCGTCAGAACCAAATATATTAAATTTACTCTCATCAGCAATATAACTTCATTCCAGTAATCAGAATTCTTATTTATGTTGGATTTTGCGAAAGCCAGTCTGAGATTTCTATTCTTTTCACTTACGAAGAATTTTTTCATGGCTGCTCTACCGTGATATCCAGCAGATCAAATTACTCTTCTAATAGTCTCAGGATTAACAATTACTCCATATAATGCTTTTAAATTAGCTGCAACTTTAGGAGCACTCATTCTTAGATTTTTTTTTAATATTTCGAACTATAATTCGCTTTATTCCATTGGATAGATTTGATGGTCGGCCAGGTCTTCTTTTATCCCTGAATCATATGATTCTTTTTATATCGTTTAATGATATTGAAAACTGTTGAATGACTCAAGTTAACTGTTTCAGCAGTTTCTCTAATAGATTTTCCACGTTCAATATGCAAATTAATAAACTAATTTTCGAATTTCAGGCAAAGTTTCTTTTTCGTTTAGCATTCATGGCTGCACAGAGCTAAAAAACACAAAAATTCCAAAACAAACTGGGAGAGAAATACTGCAGACGATTTTATAAATTATTGCCAATTGCTTTTGAGTAAAAATAAAAACCCCCAAAAATATTTTTATTGTAGTACGTAGTAGTATCTAATGGTGTCCCATCACTTATGTGAGCCATTTTTTGCTCCGTTCTAAACAATTGTATTTTATTAAATTAATATTTTAATATTTTGAGAAAATGTATGTTATGTAATAATTGTTACTAAATTTAAGTATATGAAACACACCCACAAGAAATTTTTACATGTTTTTTTAATTAATTTTATTACAGTTTCCTTTTGTAAAGCACAAGTGTCCCATCACTTTTTTGAGACACTGTATATTTCTCCCAGAAAGTTTAAATAGGCTTAGCTCAAAAATTTGAAAACATTTTTACCTGTATTTTTTTCAGTTACGAGCTATGGATAATGTTTCCTTTATTATTATAGATTCCTTATGTTCTTTTATAAAAGTACCATATATTTGGGAAAATGGCGCAGACTATTTTATATCCTTGAAGAACAGCGACATCCATCGAATCTTTCAAAATGCATAAAAATTTTCCCTAAACCTAACATAACCTAAAGATTTATATTAAATTGTGATGCTCAATTTTAGTGTTAACGAATGTTTTTCTTATTCATATAAATATATTGAGTGTATGAAGTTTTGTTTTTCAGTTATAGAACCCAACGAGAAGACAGGTGGCGCATTTCCTGAGTCTCCGCGAGTTCTGCAGGTGGTAAACTCTTTGATATGTCAAAGAAAGGAAGTTTTACGCAGTTTTTTTTTTTTTTTTAAAGTATATTGTAAAGATGTAAATGAATGGCAGCAGTTCTGACATGCATCTCATCCAGTTCCATTTCATGCTCATGAATAATAATAATAGCTTTGAAAAAGTAACATCAAGGGAGAAAGAAGAGTTGTCGAAGCAGAAATCGTGCTCATATAACCACAATTATATTAATAAATTATTTTGTTCTTGACTGTATTTTATTCTAAAGTAACTTTCCTTGTTCTTACAGCTGATATGCCGTTTAGCATATGAATACTATGTTCTTTTCTCTCTATGTGCTGTTTTCCCAAGAATCTTAGGGGGGAAAAAAAAAGAACTGGTTTTTAAAATATTCTAAGTGCAGTTTATCAACAAAATGTTTGGAATTTTTATGCTGATAGCACTGATTAAATACCATTCACTTCAAAATTCTACTGTTAATGAATTAACTAGGATTAGTATACCATTTTTATGCAATTTTTAATTACATCACTGAATATAGTAGTAAATAATCACATGAAATTAATAAAGAAGGCAGACTTAACCCTCGATGAAGTAAAAGCGGCATTCTAAATTTGAGTTTTAATAGATTTAAAGAACAGATGTTAAGAATTAAGTTTTTTATACTTATTATGCATATGGTCTACTAATTAATTATCCGTCTTTATTTAACTTTTTATTTCTACAATTGCATGTTTTTTTTAATTAATTTTTCACTTTTCACATTGCATTAGCATCCTAAAATCCATGCATTATCGCTTACATAAACAACATACCTAATATCGAGAGGCTGTTTCATTACCAACTAATGAAATAATTATCTATATATAATTTTTCAGATTTTAGCCCAAACGGCGCTAGCCGAGAAGGGCTATTAATTACGTTTTGGCATTTTGCGTTGGTTCACCATAAACGGCACTTCACTTTTCAAATTGTTGCCACCAAATATTACACCCCTGATAAGATTTAAATAAATTAAATAATGAAGAATCTGCATGAATGTAGGTATGTTTCTCGCATTGTGAAAACACAACGGTACCTAGAGACATCCAGTTTTGAATAACGTAATCCTCCACCCGAATATGGGCATCAGGAAACCCGAACTTGGAATTTGTTTTATTACCTATTTTATATTTGTAAAACTTTATAACGAATTTTTAATTAACAAACTCAACGATTTCAAAGCGAGCAATGGCAACACTGTATGGGAGGAGGGACATTTTTATCTCTAGCACCCGAGACCGTGTATCAGAAATTCTAAAGATATGCTTTTTTTAAATTACTTTGTGATATTGCCGTTGAATTAAATTTTATAGTGCGAAGAACGTGATATTTAATAAATAAAGGTAACACACAAAACGTTCAAAAAAGGCCTTTTGGGCATAATACAAAATCTGAAAACTTTCATTTTTTTTTTTTTTTTTTTTTGTATATATTTTAGTTTACTGGTGTTTTATTTTTCTTTTAGCTAGAACCAACAGTTTTTCCAATTAATACTTTTTGGAATCTAAGTTTTGTTAATATATATATATGCGTGTTATGATAGCAAATTAAATTTTTATAAGATGAAATAAAATTATATTTCACAGATTTAAATTAGAATAATTTTAGCATTGTTCTGATGTTAAAAGATACAGTGCAATATAAAATATGTCTGGTCTGTGGTATCACATTTCCTTATTTGTTATCACAAGTTAAATTAGTTAGAAATCAACTGTTGAAATCAATTATCTAAATTTACACTCCGGAAATTCTTTTGTATGCAAATTCCTAATTGTTTCTTTATGAATTCATAATGACTGATTTATTAATATTATTTAAAATACGCATTTTAAATGATCTAAAAATATACGAAGTTCAAAACAGAAACACATAAACACAAGGATTCTAAAACTAAAACAAAACTTTTTATTAAAGCAAACAATCATACTATTTACATAATTTTCAACATGCTTAAAATCTGTACATATTTACACATATGAAACATAAATGTTCACAACACAAATATAACAGATCTCTTTAAATAAATTAAAGTCACAATGGCTTTTCCAACGGGACTAGGAATACGGGAGACTACATAATTCGCAGACCACTACAAACTTAATATATAAGTCACGCCGAATATTTCTCTAATTAGAGGTAGTTAAAGTCTAAAGCTGGAACAACAAACGAAAATATTCAAATGTTTTTTCTTCTTCATTTATTAAACATTTCTTTACAGTATATTTACAAATTGATAATCACAATTATATTTTATTCTGAAAGTACTTAACTCTTATCTAACTCTATAAAGCAATCTGGAAGTATAGGCATTGTTTGAGATTTATTTTTCTAGATACTGGCACGTACAGGAAGTATGTACATTGTCTTAACTATCTGGCACAATGAGGAAGCACAATGTTGAGGATAAAGATTTTAAAAATATTCTATATGAAATCGTATAAACTCTAGACAGAATAGAATTAATTCTACAGACATTATATGTAAAAATACGAAATAATAAAACATTTATAATTCGCACCATTTCACTTTACTACAGCTACGGACAATTTACGTTACAATTAATTAAAAAAATAATGAATAACTAACTTATCTTAAAACAAAAAGTAATCAATTTTAAGGTTCTAGTATTTGGTAAATTACTAATTACTGAAATTAAGCCTAATTTATTTACGAAACAGTTTAATATGAAAATAAGGGAATTAAACTTTAAACCTAATTTATTTACGAAGCAGTTTAATATGAAAATAAAAGAAATTAACTTTCGTTTTAAATACACTGATTGCCTCTGCAATATTTATAATGCACTGACTATTCTTACCACGACTTCCTAATTAATAATAAAATTAATTTGTTAAAAGTTAACCGGTAATTAAAATCGTCTGCTAAACGAATACTTATCAGATAACTTACATAGAAAAATTACATAACACAACGTCTAAAAGAAAGGTTTAGGAACTCAAATTAATTTTAGGGGATAACATTAAAGACCTTAGGAACAGATTTCACTTTTTGTGGAAAACATAAGGTACCTAAGGAACTAATTTTGTGCTTATGGCAAGAAATTTAAGACAAAATCACAAATTTGTACTCATAAGAAAGACATAAAAGTAATGAGTATTATTTACAGCAGTCTAAAACATATGCACCACAAAGTGATTAGACACTTAAGGAACGTATTTCTTATAACAATTTTTGGTAGAATTTTCAACAGCGGGCGGAATTGAAAGTACTAAAACGAAGTGTGTGATATGTTTACATTTCAACAAATTCAGCATTTAAAAAAGTAACTAGATATTTGTATGTGTAACAATATTTTTTTTTAATTTGGCATTTGAAAAGTAAATAGTAAATTCGTACTGTATGTGTAATTTAAAAATAAATAAATTGTATTTTACACAAATCAATACATTTCTGATATAGCCTCGTATTTTCTTAAAAGATTTACTATAATGTTACTGATTCTGATTTTAGTCTCCCCACCAGGATACTTCTGAAGCTCATAAAGAGAATTAATTTAAAATTTTCTAAATATATTTTTATATAAATAATTTGTTATTACGTATATAATTTCTCATTGCAAGTTTCATAATGTTAAATACTGAAGGAAATGGGCCTCAGAAACTAGATGCTTTAAAAATATGTTCCAACTTCACAAACAGTTCATGTCCAATAAATATGGAAAAACTTTCTGTAAAATGGAAAACTTCAACAATGATGCTTCAAAACTTTGGCCTTTTTGTAGTAGTTCATGGTTTGTTTTAATACAGTTCTCAACTCAAGAATGTATTGGTGGTCAATTCATGAGTTGAAGATCAAGATAAGCAAACAAGGTCTTCAGAGCTATTGCTTCCAGAATCGTCTGAGCACAGGTCTTCATCTGAGAGGGAAGATTCTCCAATAGAATTACGGAGCATCAGCGCCTTTTTGAGCCTCAAGAAAATGTCCTCTCCGAGAGATTCGCGTGACATCAGAGTTTTCAACCTCATGTACGTGTCGTTTTCAGGTGACGAAGACAAAGATGAGTTTAGAGAAGATCCCTCCGAGTTGCACATGTACAAATCGTCGTCACTGGTTGGGGTTCCGACTTCCACATCCTCATACTCATCTTCCAAATCATCCTCGTCGATGACAGTCAGTTTGGGTGCAATTTGGGACATCTCGATAGGTGGTCTGAAGTTGATGCTGCCACGATACAAAAGCAGTTTTCGCCTTGGCATTGAGGGACAGTCATACACAGCGTTCGCCAGAGACAGCCTCGCCTTTTGTCTTGTTAACTGTTGAGAGAGAAAAAGATAAAGGTTAATTTAATATTCTAATATTTCTTATATTATTCATTACATTATTTTTATATGATTCTTTATTCTTATATATGTATAAGAGTCTGTAAGTCACATATAATCTCACAAATCTATCTATAAGAGAATATTTAAAATATTTTACAAGTCGCTTATGAGATAACTTACACACTTAATATTACATTCTCGACGAACTGATTCGAAGATGCATTATACTAAAATGAATTAAGGGGTTTAATTGAAAACGCGAATAAAAATACCAACTGTTCCGAATGGGTTGGCCAAAATGGAGCTTTTGTGGTTTTCCAATGTGTAATGTTAATACCAGTCAGCGTGCCTAATAAGCTCTCACGGATTACTTGCTCTAGTGTAATAAAAAGCTTTGGCAAAAGTTTACAATTGTGGACCCCTTGCTTTATGGCGAATCTTTTTTGACACCAAGATTGGCGACAGGAAGGCACAATTTCAAGATGGCCGCTACACAAAACCAAAATAAGAAGTTAAAGAACTACACAAACTTTGTGTCCATGTACAAATCGATCTGTTTTCACTTAAACAAAACATCAGAGAATTGAACAAACTAGGCATTGCCTTAACTTTGTCCATGTACACATCGATCTATTTTCATTTAAACAAAATCAGGAAGCTAAAACAAAAGTTAAAACTCTCATGGTAACCAGGAATGAGTTTCATCGCCAAAATTTAACAAAATTTGTTGCTAATCGATGGGGCACCCAATTCTACACTATATCCGAAGCCTTTTTTAAATTAATTTTTTTAAAAAAAAAAAAGCTAACGAACAATCTTAAATAGGCTTATAATTTTTAAATTTAAGAATTTAATATTTTAATACAGAAAAATAATTTAATAATTTCTTTTATAAAACTTACAGTTGACGCGCTTTTATCTTATTTCACACATGCGCAGTTAATTTGTAATTAACAACTATCGAATTTACATTTAACTGCATAGGGTTTTCATATTTCAAACATGTTCCTTCATGATTAAACAAGCTTAAGCAACATCTGGATAAAAAGAACGGCTTTAATGAATTACTAGATAAATTTTAATGGGAAGCATTGCCTACTCTGCAACCTAACGAAACTTTAACGACCCTACAGGACATTCTGAGGTAATCGTTTCAACAAAGTATTAAACAAACAAAACAGAAGAATTTGCTGTTCTAACACAGCAAAAGAATAAATTTACATAACCAGCGCAGACGAAAAACGAAACAGAAGAATCGGAAAAATGCGCGCGAAAAGCGTTGACCTTCCATGTCCTTGAGCCATTACCGCAGGTAATTCGGAAGCTTGGCGCCTGCTCGCGATTTTACCTTCTGTTTGATCAAGATCCCAGCGCTTGCTTAATCGTGGGACACACAGATTAGCCTTAGGCATAAAACTACCACGCGTCCGGCCTTAATATTGCATTTTTGCTGTATCAGTTAGGAATTCTGTAAACCGGTTACCCAATACAATGTTTTTTATTTTGTATACGATTAAAACATGTTTGTATACATACAAGCACTTCTCTAACTAACCACAATCCAGGATATTATTAATAATAAAAAACTGGTGCACTTAAAATTTTATTGTGTATTTAAACTAAGCTGATTAAAAAAATTATCTCTTTTTCAATATATTACACATCTATTTAAATTTTACACTCAAGATAACAAAAATAATTTCAGATTATTTTGTGCTATTTAAATCACAAGCAACTCTCAAACAGTTCGATTTAATTTAGGTGTATATAATCTGGAATATTATAAAACTATTTAAAAATTAATTGCTAAATCGTAAAAATAAATTAACTATATTTCTTTTTCCCACTGACTTCTAGCAAAATTCAACAGCAATAGTGAAAACAATTTTTCCTGTTTTTGAAGTGTGTTCTTGTTTTGAATGCTGATTTAATTCCCTTTTCATTAAAAATGCAATTGTTAGTCATATTTTTTCTGTTCTTTATAGTGCTAATTATTTCTCTTTCCTGTGTCTTTTAACTATGGTAGCATTAACCGTAACTCCAGTTAACCGTGGGCTAAGTTAAAGCAATTTTTCATTTTATTTATTTATTCCTTAATAAAAGCTTCTTTAAAAAAAAACTGCTTTTAAGACCATTTCAGTCAAATTAATTTACCTTTAATGAGATAATTAATATTTAAAAAATATTTTCTGCTAAATATTCCAATAAATATATAAAAACAACAGCTAAATAATGCAAACAAAGAGCTCATAATTTACTATTATAAAGGCATTATTTTAATAAGCAATACCTTTGCGTAATTCATTTTCATTAAAACGCCAACTAAATTAAGGCATAAAAAATAAATAATTCGGATTATAGTATATAAATTTAATTATACGCAAAGGGGGTGAATTAAGAATAAATTACTACGCATATTAAAAACGTTAAAGGCAAAGAAAAAAAGTAAAAAGATTAAATGGCCGGCATACACATTTATTTTTCCATTTAAACACTAAGCTTCAGTTAAATTTTTACATTTTAATGTTTAATCGGCAAAAAATGGAAACAAGTTCTTTAAAACGGTATTTTTCCTAAAATGGCTCAGTAAGATCATTTTTGTTCTCTACATGAATTTTTTTTTTTTTTTTTTTAAGTCAATAATAAGCCATGTAAATCTCGCTAAACTTTTCACTTTTCTTTTCAGTTAAACGGTTAAATTAAATTTCATTTGCCTTAAAATAAAACAAACAAATTACGTACAATACAAAAATTAAATCTATTTGCTTTAATATCCATTTCTATTTAAAAACAAAATACTGTCAATTTCACGCAAATTACTTTAAATGCATTAAAATTCGATATAGTATATAAAACAGTAAAATTCTGATCATTTAACTGATATAATTTTAAGTATTTTACGATATAATTCCAAGAAGTGAATAAACATTTATGATTGATCGATTTAGTTATTTATAGCAAAAACGAGAGAGCTGTCTGCCTTGCAGGGGGAACGGAAGTTCACAAGAATTCCATTAAGGAAATGGATTCTATTTATGTTAAACACAATGAAAAACCACGAAATCCTCCAATCTTTACTTTACAAATCCATAAAAAGGCTGTAAATATTAACATAAACAACTACACGGCAAATTAATTAATGTTTTTAGTAGATCGCAAGCCAATTTTGTTTTAGTTAAAAAAAAAGTTTCTAACCTTAAAATCCGTGTTATTCATTTTAAACTTAATTTCAGTTTCTTTGGGGTCGGGTACATCTACTTACGTATCAGTAACAGTTTAATCAACTAAACTAAATTGAGCTCAATATTAATGTCATTAATCTGACAGCATTATCTCTTTAATCCTGCAAATAGGTCGACTTCGGAATTTTCTGAAAAGCGACGAATTTTATATCTTAAGCCTCTGAAAATGTACCGATTACGGGCAAATACAGGTATACCTAAGTACTTTAAAAATGTCATTAAAACTGCATTTTTAATATACCATACGGAAAACATTTATTTGTCAATAAAACAGACGCAATTACGTTGTATCATATGCTGATACACCTTTAAAAAAATTATTTAAAATTATCGTTTGTTTTCTTTAAATCTACAGATAACTTAAGCTAATAATCTTATAATTTAATTTAAGTTATATTTATGTTACTAAGTTGAAAAGGCTTACATAATTACAAAAAATATCCAATATATTTCATTTTGAGAAACAACAGAACTAAACAACAGGCTAAAAATTATGCAACTTCTAACGAAATCTAATGAAATGTTTCTTTGTAACTGATGAAATCAAACAAGATACTGAATTTATTAATAAAAATGCATGTAACCAAAGAAGATAAAAAAGTCAAACACGTTTTTTCTAATATTTTCTTATATATATAATAACTGTCCCATTTTACAAAATAATCATTGATTACAATCTAAAATTCAAATAAAATGAAAAATGACCAAGACGCGGAAGGTATGCCACAACATGAAAAAGAAATCTAAAATGTATCTGGCCTAGTTAAAAACTACTACTGTCTCGTATAACACGTTCTCTCGACGATTACAAACATCACGTACCTAGAAAGCATTTAAACAAAACAAATTCTAATGTATACAAACTCAAGAATGATAGGAGGTTTTGAAATAACTCGTCTGGAAAAATCTGCGATTATTTAAAGGGCTTCCACGTTTGTTTTAAAAACATAGTTTCGAAAACTTACAAGATAAACAAACAATTCGTTCGGAATATAATTAACAGATGTCTTTTCTGTTGAAAATATAATAAATGTGAATATATATTTAAAAAATGTGAATATATAATGATTATTCAGACTGTTTATGAATTCAAAACATGTTGAATATGCAGAATTAAATCAAAATTGTTACTTTTAAAAATACTTTTTAACTATTTTTCCTCTCTGTACATTCATAACTTCGTCACTGAAAAATCATTTTCAATACATACGTTTAGAATAAAAACCGAAACCTGTTAGAAGGTTATGTAATTCATTCCAACAGATTTCAGCAAAGAATATATATATATATGCACAAAACAATTTTAAAATATGTATATAATATAAATGATTATATTATATATATATATTTAATATTAGGCGCGAGCCTGATATTTTCGCGCATTAAGCTGCTGAAAAAACTGTAATAAATAACTAATAATAATTAATAAATGTTAAAAAAATTAGTTTAATAAATGTTAAATCTAAAATACTTCAAGCAAGTATTACAGGATTTTTTTTACGGAAGAGAGATTTCAATGTTCCTCCTCCTGATGAGTGGCACTTAAATTAATCGAACTTCTCTTTTTTTAATATTCTTTATTTTTTAAATTCGGGTATTACTTGTTTGAAGCACTTTATTTTTAACATTTATTAAATTCTTATTTTTGAATTTATAGGATTTTACGAAATTTGTTACTTATGAATTTCAATTTTTGGTCTTTGTGAAAAATTGGTTCTAAATTTCTTACTTTATGTCCTTACTGATTATTAAAAATTCTTATTCTTCTTTACCACAAATTATTTAAAAAAATTACTAAAATTTCTTTAAATTCTTATGCTTTACTAAATGTTCTTTAAAAGTTTTTAGGATTAAATTTTGGATTATTAAATATTTTTGTCATGTATTTAGATGCTTGCACTTAATTTACATATGCTTTCTGAATATGAATACTATTGCAAATTAGTTCGCAGCAGTAACTAATCTTTTACTCGTTTACAATTGAATTTTCAGAATTTAAAATTTAAATTAGCTTTATATGAATGAGATAATGATATTGCATTATTTAAATTAGAAAGATGGTCATAAAAAAGGAAGACTGCACAAAAATGACTGAAAAAGAATGTATAAATTACTGAAAAATAAAGATCAAGAACTTACTTTCTCCCGCCGAAATTCTTGAAGAGCTAGAGCTAGTCTGTCTTTAAGCTGTGCAGTCAGTTCTCTTGCCTGTTCTGGTTTCAAGCACAATGCAGCATGGCATCTAAGTTCCTGCTTCATCTTCGGCCGCTCGTGCCGGTATATCCAGCAGAAAAGTCCAGGATACTCGGGTGGTGCACAACAGTATGTTATTCTGTAAGCCCAGTACTCTGAAACGCCGTAATTTTTAGTAACAGCCTTCATACCCGAATTGCAAACAGTAAGTTCCATTGGCACTGATGCAGCTTTGGGATTTTTCATATATGCTTTCCACAGGGTAGCCAGTGGCTTGTCTGTGCAGCCTTCACCTTTAGCATAGGAAGTTAAGATGTTTCCCAAGTACAACAGCTTGTAAGTAGGATCGTAATCTGTGATGGTAACTGTCCGTTTTTTCCAAAACTTCAAGCTTTCTCTCGTCGGGAGAGAAATAGTCACAGGCATAGAAAACATCTAAGTTTACTTTTATTTAAAGAACTCCTCGGCAAAAGGATTTAAGTCTTTTGACAGACTCTGAGATGCTGGAGATCTCCTAAATTCGAAATTGCTCACCAATACCAATGAGCCGGCGGCGAAAGAAGATCCCGTTAGTATTCGAGAACGTTCGATGCTGAAGATGTGATCAATTTAGCTAACACGATTCAAACTGAAGTTACCAAAAGATGCTCCTCGACTTTTATGTATAGATAAGAAGCGAGATAACGCAGTTTTGTTTATTTATGTCTGGATTGACAGTTCTAATCAAAACAAATCTGACCGTTAGACACACAGTTTGCTCACAGCTTTCGGTTTACCAATACAGAATGACTGAACTGGCGAATCCACGATAGTCGTGGGTTTGGAGCGTGTGACCTACAACGTGTGTGACGTCACAAACCGGCGCGCATATCCCATTGGCTGATGGTGTGGGCATGGCGCCAGCGAGAAGGAGTGCTATATTTCATTACTTATCGAAATTTTTGTCGATTTCTCCGTAGAGCGGAAAAACGTGGCGACTGGATTGTTGTTTGTATATTTTTTTAATAGTAGTTTTAATAGTCTGCTACTACAGAAAAAAATTGATTTGATTTTAACGATAGTTTTCCTCTCCAAAATGGTCATTAGCATTATGGACTTGCTATTTTATTTATTTAAAAGAGTTTGTGTACTTTTGTTTGTTTTTGTGTGAGATTCTGTTGCTGCTTAGAAGTTTTGAAATTCCTAAATTATTTGAGAACCGAATTAACTGTCGCTTAACTTGGAAATGGAAGAACATTAAAAGTTTAACTGGAAATTTTGAAAATTTAAGTTATTTTTTAAATTAATTCGCATAGTAATTTTCAAAAAGTTGTGTCAGATATGAGTGATTACTGTCAATTTTCTTCCCACTCAACATTAAAATGATATATCTTCTGCTTATTTTTTCCATTCTAGATACAATAATAATTAAAATAAATAAAAAATGAAGCTTTCAGATTTTACATTACGCCTTTATTTATTAAAAACCATGCTCTACGTACTCAAACCGTAAAATTCAGTTCAACAGCAATATTGCAAAATAATTTTAAAATAAGCATATCTTTAGAATTTCCAATACACAGTCTCACACGCGCTGGAGATAAAAATGCTTTTTTCCCCCGTGCAGTGTTGCCATTTCTCGCTTCGAAATCGTCGAGTTTGTTAATCAAAAATTCGTTTAAGTGTTACAAAATATGAAACTGGTAACAAAACAATTCCAAATCCCAAATTAGAGCCCATATTCGGTGGATGATTACGTTATTCAAAATTGGATGGTACCGTTGTTTTATCACAATGCGAAAAACATACATTTATGCAGATTTTTCATTCTTCAATTTCAATTAAATATAACACAGGGAGATAATATTTGGTGGCAACAGTTTGAAAAGTGAATCAACGCAAAATGCCAAAACTAAATTAATAGCTCTTTTGAGCTAACGCTTCTTTGGGCTAATAATAATAATAATAATCCATCCTGGCAATTAGAAAAATGATATGAAAAACTGAAAATTTTGAAATTAAATATCCCGGTCAATTTTTGTCGTAGGGTACTCAAACATCTTATAATTTTATTTTTTCATAACCAGTACAAAACTTTTCCGAATATAAGTAACTATAGGAGCTTGAAGACCGTGTTAAAAGTTAGATTTCCTTATCTGACTAATATTAATTTAAAAACAAAAAATTTGACATTTCAAAAACATGAATATTTTTGTCATTTAGAACACTTCTTTGACTGGAAGTATATGACTATGACCAACAACTGCGAAAATAAAAGGCGAGAATGGGTGGGTGGGTATATATAAAATATATATACTTTTGGTGCTGCCGACTGCAATAAAAAAGGGAGATGCACAACTAGATGTTACAACGATCCCATATACAAAATTTCAACGTTTTTATGGCTAATCGTTTTTGAATTAGGAGTACGTTACGTACAAACATCACGAAAATAACCATTTTGTCTGTACGTACAAACATCACCCAAAAAAGTTGTCAAAATGGATATTTCCATTGAAATAACCGAAAAACGTTACTCGAAATTTTTCGCGATTACAATACTTACTCTACGTCGTAGAAATAAGTAAAAAAAAAAAATTTTGAATTGCAAAACATTTTTAATAGATTTTTTAATATTGTTTTAATAGACTTTTTTAATCGCATTATTCTTGGTGGAACTCGAAACACACAGCAAAAGCCTTCTGAAAGACAGCCTCCCTTCCCCCCCCCAGATTTCCAGATATTCCAGTCCATTGTGCAGGTAGTTATTTTAGAAGTGTTCGATATCGATAGTTAAGCTGTAATAAAATTATGATTCCCATTCACAAGTGGCTATTTTAAGGAGGTGGTCCTCATGACACGGTTCGCTGTGTTATCCGCGAATATAATGAATTAATTCATTCAAAAATTTCAAGAAAATGCTGAAACATAATTGCTTTTTATTCTCAAAACTAATAAATACGTAAATAATTAATAAAAGCAACAAGTTTGATTAAAAAATATTTAAAAAATAAAAGTATTTCCGCACATTGACACACACACACCACACACACACCCCCAAAAAAAAAAAAAAAAAACTTGAAAGTTTTCAGATTTTATATTATTACGCCCAAAGGGGCCTTTTTTTAACGTTTTGTGTGTTACCTTTATTTATAAAATAGCATGGTCTTCGCACTTAAACCATAAACTTCAATTCAACAGCAATATCGCAAAATAATTTTAAAATGAACCTATCTTTAGAATTTCCGATACACAGTCTCGCGCACTGGAGATATATATATATATATGTTTTTCCTCCGTACAATGTTGCTCGACTTTGAAATCGTTGAGTTTCTTAATAAAAAACTCATAAATGCTTTACAAATTATGAAATAGATAATAAAATAAATTGCAGATTCCAAATTTGGCCTTCCAGATGCCCATATTCGGGTGGGTTATCACAGTGCGACAACCATACATACATTTATGCGGATTCTTCATTATTTAATTTCTTTAAATATAATGCAGAACGATAATATTTGGTGGCAACAATCTGAAAAGTGAAATGCCAACACCGGTTTACCAACACCATACATTCCATGGTAAAATCGACAATGGGAAATGTTTGTCGCTTCACCTTTCCTGAGTTCCACAGTGTCGTCTTTTTTTTTTTTTTTTTTTTTTTTTTTCCCCTGTTGTTGCTGATGCTCAATTGTCTGACGTACAGTCAGCCCAAGCCAAACGAAATGCCTCGTGAGAAGGAGCGCAGCGCAAGATACAGCTGACGTTGGCAACAGCCTTGAGCAACCTATAGGTGAAAGTGCGATTTAGCTCAGCTCCGCCCCCAATTTTGATGGAGAGCACCCCTGGGACACGGGTACGAAGGTCTCCTAATATGATATTTAATAAAAAAACGCCCCTTTGGGCGCAATATAAAATCTGACAGCTTTCAGACTTTTTTTGTTTTGTTGTAGACATTTAGGTAAATCCTTTCTTCATCGAGTTTCACAATGTATACCCATTTATCTCCTGCTAGATAGTTTTCATGCAAGGTTCTACAAATTGTTATCTACTGAGCAGCATGCCTTGCAAACAATGGTGAACGTTACGTTTTTTAGCTTTTGTAAGTTGTAAACCTCGATTTAGTATTATATTTTTTGTCGCTAGAGTTGTATTTAAAATTTTTGCAACTGATTTCTGTGTCAGCGGATTTATTTTTATTTAAAAAACATTAGAAACAATGCGCACCTTTTTCGCGTACTGGTATGGAGTGTTCTTTCCATGTAGAAGTAACGACTGATGGTTTTCCCCTTTCCGATAAATAGTGTTGTTTATTTTACACTTATACACACCATGCATTTCGCAGCGTTTTTCAATTACGGAATAGCGCAAAAAGATATCCTTCGGAAAGCGCAAAAAGATGTTCTTCAATAGCTCCTTAGCTTGTTTACATGCAACATTTTGAAAGAAGAATAAATTTAAGAGACGATATTTCTCACTTCAAATAATGAGCTATTGCTAGAAATTTTTATTCAGATACATTTGATTTTTTTTTTTTTTTTTTAAATTCTTTATCGCAGTCGTTCCAAAAATGTGTTAACATTCTCCGTAAGAGGAAGTTTATAATTATTTACATACAAATAAATCTACTTTTAAGTCGAAGAAAATTTTTAATATATAAGAGAAAGAGATTAGATTTTTCATTATTCTCAAGTTTTGTCCCACTTGGGAAGTTTCCTCCGAAACGTAGAACATTTTAATAGTTTATTCTTGGTTTAAAGTATGGTGGCGTGATGGTTATGGCTTGGTGTATATCCTTAAAAGACATGACTCCGTTTCGTTAAACATAACTTTTATTCGCACACATTCCATAATTTTAAACACAACTACCATAACATAACCAAATAACGTTACAGAAAACTACTAAACTAAAATTCGTACGTACATCTTACGCTCGAACTAAGGCGAAGTGAGCGAGTTCACTGCCGCGCTCGCAGTTTTTACAAACACAACATGACGTGGATTGGCTGCGCACGCAGTCGAACATCCTACTGCTGCCACAGAAGTAAAGTAAGTTATTTAATAATTAATTAAACGTGTTAGAATGATCTGAAATAAATATCTTTCTAAAAATGTAATATTTTGTTGTTAATGTATTTGAATTACTAAGTGTAATCAAGAAAATGTCTTATGGTACCAAACTTTAGATTTCAGATAGAAAATAATATAAATTATAATAATAGATATCAGATAGAAATAATAAATTTTTTTGTTATGATAATATTGTTATTATGTTTTGCTAAATAGTTAGTGAAAGAAATTATAAATTTATTATTTTAAAGTATTTTTCACTTTAGATAAAAAAAAAAAAAAAAAAAAAAAAAAAGAAGCTTTCAGATTTTATATTACACACAAAAGTGCGCTTTTTTTTTTAAATTTTTAATTTTTAAAGGTTTTGCGTGTTATCTTTATCTATTAAATACCATGTTCTTCGCATTTAAACCATAAAAATTCAATTCAACAGCAATATCACAAAATATTTTAAAAGAGCATGTCTTTAGAATTTACGATACACAGTCTCGCACGTTGGAGATATCCCCCCCCCCTGTAGAGTGCTGCCATTGCTCGTTTTCAAATCGTTGAGTTTGTTAATCAAAAACTCGTTAAAGTTTTACAAAATATGAAATCGATAATAAAACTAATTCAAAATTTGTGTTCAAGATGTCCATATTCGAGTGGAGGAGTACGTTATTTAAAATTATGTGTGTCTAGGTACCGTTGTTTTTCGAACAGTGCGAGAAACAAAAATGCATTCATGAAGATTCTTCATCACTTAATTTC